GGAGTAGGTGGGAAAACAATGGGTGAACAAGCAGTTGACACGAGTATGCGACTTTCTTTTACACGATCTGGAAAAATAAGATGAACTTCTTTTGCAAGAGAGTGGGACTCCGTTTACGTACCTTTCGTAAAGAAAGATGAATCTTGAAGCTGACTCGAATCCAGAAGTGACTGTTGGAGAATTGACGACAACTCTCTGCGTTGTTGTCTCCTAGCACGCCTCAATCGCGATTCTTGGCCTTTCTGTAACTTTAAACTACACCTAAAGCTACGATGGTAATCAGACTTTAAACCACGAGAACTTTCAGATTACAACGTACCTGAGTAAGAAGGTCTGCTGAAGAGTCTGTTAGCATCGTGCTGTTATTATCGCCGTTGACGGCGCTCTCGATGTCCTCACACGAGCTGCTAGCGGAAACATTTTGACTTGCACGATTCTTAAAATGAAGACATTTGGAGGCAGCGAACAACTTATATAGAGCAACGCAATCTTAATGAGAAATTATCAACATGAATTTTAAAAAAAGTCTAGTCAAAGATCTGCATAACCGAAAGGTTACGTAGAAAATGTAATCCAAAATTTGATATCCCACCAAATCAACAAACATCTGCATCATAGCTGCAGATCAAAGTGATAAACTTAGTGATTACACATAATAAGTGATGATAAACACTACCTCTTTCTCTTGCTCACTCGCATTAACAACAGTGGCGCGTCGCTTTGGCTGTTGTAGCCCAGAATGTAGCGTGTTTGGCTGATTGCGCCTAAACGCATAATGATACTGATGTGCATAATTTACAAAAAAAAAACAAGATTAAAGAGAAATCTAGGTGTTTTGAAAAAAAAAAACACGATTATTAAGAGAACTAACGATTCCCTACGTACGAGCTAGGAAAAGCGACACCCAAAAACCAAGAGCATCATGAAAAAGTATCTTCTAACCTCAAAGCAGTGCTAGTTTTAACTGGTGTTGTATGACGTCGTCGCGTCCTCTCTCGCCCTTCTCCATGAGATGAAAGAAAGTGATCTTGGCTGATAAGAGATGTGGGGGTGTCTTTTAGAACCTAAATAAGTTGAGATATTGAGTATCATCTAATTAGCCCCACGAAGTTAGTTCACAAAAAAACTCAAACGAACACAGATACATAATTTTTCTGCATTTATTAGTAAGCTAAGAAACTACATAATGGCCCGAAAATAGCAAAATTCCCAAATCGGTCACACCGTTGAGTTCGCTTAAAATCTTACAGAGTTGATTTGAGATCAGTGAACAATTACTGAAAAACATGATGTTACCTCCAACGATAGAAGAATAATTAGAAAAGAAGGTTTGATCAAAAATCTGAACAAATTATCCTTTAAGCGTACCTTGCTAGCTCTCAAAGGTGGTGATTCCCGCCGCTTCTTTCCAGAATCACGTCTGACCACAGATGTTAGATTATAGTCAACAGTATGCCGCGAAACTCTACCGGTAGACTGAGATGAAACTTCCTTTGACGTTCTCTGAAATCCATAACAACTTGCTTCAGTTCAAAGTACTACCATCAATATTGCCAATTTCCCAACGCTGAATTAAGCACTAACCGTTTGCTGTACATGTAATCTCGGCTGTGCGTTTGCG